GATGATGATTGCTTGTGTTGCAGTTGAAACGTCGTGATAATTTTGTTTTATATTTTAATTATTTTATTGTTTCCTTTCTACGTGACTTTACCGAAAGAAGCAAGAATATGAATCCCTGCAGTCATGAAAGCTTTAAATCAAAATTTGGTTTCATTTGTTTCACTTGGAAGTTGGAATTTCGCTTTCCAAATTGCTGCACTCCCTAGTTAACATGTTAACGCATGCATTCACTGTTACAGGAATCATATATCGATCCCCCTTCGTCTGGCGATTTGATTAAATTATGTCATGATCAGTTTATGTGCACGGTCTGATCCAAGAATACCTTTAGTCAAAGTATTGTTTCGATCAGTTTTTACACTCTCATTTGAACCTTTTGTCCCGTCCTTCCTATTTTGTTCTGTCCTATTCATTACGACAGTATCAGCATAAACATGTTCATGCAACATTTGCACACAGTTGAAAACAACACTATTTTGCAGGCCATAAATTCGATCCGTGTATTTGTAACGTAAGTATGCAGAAAAATATTCACGAGTTGATAAAAAATGAACAGATTTAAATATTCAGGCCATAGCAGTGATACCTAATATATGGTCATCACCCCAAGCCAAATTTTTGGTCGGGCTTTCAGAGTCACCAAATGGTGTCACATTTTGCCGGCCACTACTATTAATTTGAATGGTAGGGGGGCGTGGACAGCAAGAAGAGGTCCCAGATGGTCACCAGACAAAAGTAGTTGCCACCAGCTGTCGCCTGTTCGCGATTTTCGTTAAGGCGTTAATGGGTGTCAGAATATTCTTCAGAGCCTTATAATTCGGTCGGGACGCACAACTGCACCGTAGTCACTCAGCTACTGCCATATTTTACGTCCGAATACTGTAGTCTCAGATGTCTATGTACATGTGTGTGCATAAACATGAGTACACAAACGTGCAGTATATGTGAATAATACTGTTGAGTTTTAAATAGCGTCGTTCATGCAAAGTGAATGTCACAATCGCTGGTGAACTACAAGATACATACATAGATACATTGGAAGGCAGCAGCAAAGTGGTAAGCCCGTGCCAAGAATTGCCCAACCTTTGCGGTCCTCTAAACGGTAAGATATTTCCACATGTACCAGTACCCGTGTCCATGTACATGTGTGTGCACGTGTATGTTTTGAGGTATTTGTACATAGGCTTAAGTTCAAAGTAGTTGGGATAAATCGTCAACGAAGTCGACTCACCGACTAATTGTGATTATTATTTTTTTGGCCGATACGGTGACCCTTGAAATATAACGCCCCTCTCATCTGGCCTCCAGAAGTCGGGAAACCCCACACGAGCCATGCACAAAGTGACGCAGCTGATAGTGATTATGATGTAGGTAAGCCCAACCCATAACCTCCCGTCCAGTGGCACACGTGGCGGGACATAAGACGTTTTTTTTTCCCCCAAAATATTTTCTTGTTATCCAATGAGTTGAGTAACTGAACCGATAATCGATATAGCCGGGCTCAAATTCCTCCCTCGACGGGAGGTTTCTTTGACACACTTCATATTTTATCAGTAGTGCATTGGCAGCGGTGCACAAGTGTAATGACCGAAAAATGACCCCAAAGCCAATATGCAGCCTAACGGCGATCTGAAAATAAACAAAGGTCTCCGATTGTTAGAAAGAGGCCTCTACGGTGATTGGTCGGAAGGCAGACGTTTAAAGGGATTGATAGGAATACAAAGAGGATCCGTTAGAGGGGAAGGGCAGGGATTGGCTAAGGGGAAAAAAAGAGGACAAGAAGGTTCCAGAAGGGGGGCTCGAGTAATATAAAAGGGGAGAGAGCACGAGGAGTGGGGGACGTTCGGAGGAAGTGTGGAGGCCGACGCCCGCCTCCCCGCTCCCTGTCAGCGGGCAGGGCGCGACGTCCACCCCCTCCACTCCCCCCTCCTCCTCGTCGGCCGCCTCTCGCCGAGCCCCCGCCGATCGAGTGATCGGCCCCCCTGTGCCAGCGCCCTCTCTGAGGGACATAGCCAAGTGGCTGGCTCACCACCGCCCGGGGTTATCTCGCACACGCCCACATACACCACCACTAATACGAAGGCGGCTGCGTGCACGCACGCGCCCCTGCAGGCGCTTGTTTTACACAAAGGCTAGCGCTAAAAGAAAACGGCTGTATGAATATGCATGCGCACCCCCGGGTGGTTAAGCCCTAATCCACTTGCACACAAAGGCTAGCGCTAAAGAGCTGCGCGAATTTGCGCGCGCGCCTCGCCGTCAATGCTATTGTTGTTGCGTGAACACGCGCGAGCGCTTATGTTTTAATACACGCGCGCCTCACACACACCCTCAAATTACCAACACCACACCGACGCTACAGCCCCACGCACGCTCTCCCGCGCACACCGTCCGCCCCGCGCAGTTGCGCCACACACAAATCGCAGACACCACGCCGATGTTCTACCCACACGCAAACAGAAATCACACTGCGCCGATACTCTGAACTAAAGTTTATTAACGGCGCAAATACACACTGCCTGAAGGGGGAGTATTTCGCGAGAAGAGCTCAGCCTGACTCTGCCAACGAACTTCAGGCGTCCGACCACGTACCTCGAAGCTGGACTCACAGCGTCTCACGGACGCTGTGAGAGTCGGAGGGAGAAGGACTGGAGAAAACTTTACCTATCACTGCCTCGTAGCAGCACTCGCTGGCATCACACGGATGCTGCGAGCGGCTTGAGGAGGCAGGACGGCAGGGAGTGGGTCTTGACGGCCCAGAGGTTGAAGACAACTGCTCAAAATCGTCCCCGGCTTCTCTTTTTATTCCCTTAAGTTCAAAGGCTCAGGGTGACGTCATACCGCGCAGCCAATCGTGCGCTTACCTGCGCCGTCTACGTGGAGCGCCACGGAGTGTGCTGCTGCTCCGCTCACCCATTGTTCTCCCGTGCTCATTCATTCCAACCTACTGGTCTGCCCTTGCCTAATATTCCACCCTCCGCCTCTCCCAATGTCGTGAATAACTTGTTGCGGTTGGCCCAGTGAACCTTTTCCTTCCGCGCCCATACAATTTCAAGCCAATTTAGGGGCACCGCAATGTAACCTGTCCTGTGAGTTCTCGGCCAATCTCCTGGCGTCCGGGAAACCGTGGGACTCTCCCTCTAGGGGCCATTCGGATTTAAAACCCGATGTGCCAGGCAACCCCCCGCCAGGACACTACGTGGGTGCGCTGCGTGCGGGTGTGTGTTTAGTGCGGGGGCCGGGAGGGGATCGCGGCGCTTGCGGAGTTGCTCTGCGGTAGTGGCACCACAGAAGTGACAAGCTGAGGACAAAGCACGAAGGCCTAGGGTCCCGGATTGTGTCTGTGTCCCAATAAAGCGACTCTTGTCACATCGTCGTCAGGGGCCGTCCATAAATGACGTCACGCACCTAGGGGGGGGGGGAGGGGGGTCAGACATTTGTGACGATGCGTGACGAGGCGGGGAGGGGGGGGGGGGTTTGAGAAATGTAGCGTCACATCAAAATGCGCAACTTTAAATAAATATAAAATTGTTATAACAACACAAATTTTGATTAATTTTCATTATTAACTTTTTGATTATTTAAAGTTACTAAGGTCACCTTTTATTTATTCCATGAAGGAGCATTTTGCTTCTCCATGGGAGAATGGAGAAGCATCCTTTTTGTAAAAATTTTGAATGCTTGTTATTAAACATTTGGATTGTAGTGATTCTACCAGGGCTTTTCATTCTGGGGAATGAATATATGATTGTTATCATTGTACTCTCCATTTTGCTTCGTTCTACTACAACGTTTCAGGTATTTTTTTACAGCTATAAATACTTTAAATATTTTATAATTATAAGAGAATTTCGATATAATATTCTGAACATCTACAGTTTTAGTTAGACGTTTAATATTTTCAAGTGCATTTTATGCTAAATTTAAGCTTTCCAACGCCTCCTTTTTAAGAAATGTTTTTTCCTACAACATCAGAGTGCAGCGCCACATTAAATACGCACTACAATGACAATAGTTTAAAGCGATTTGAAGCATGTTTTATTTTCAAAATAAAAATATGATTTGGGGGGGGGGCAGAGCTTTGTGACGTCATATTTGAGGGGGGGGGTCTGACTTTTTGTGACGTCGTGTGACAAGGGGAGGAGGGGGGGGGGGTTAAAAATCGGCCAAAATCGAGTGACGTCATTTATGTACGACCCCTGACAGTCGTTCCACGAGGACAAATCACAAAATAAACTCAACGCATTCGCCGATAAAACCTAGTGGGCCTTCGAAGGGAAACATTTTTGCGTGTATATAAAAGGGCGACGCTTAGGTAAATGACCCTTCATAGAACATCACAGTGTCATATTACCGGTCAACCCATACGCTACAGCCGTATTCTTGTACAGGGGTATTGAGTTTTTCAGGTCCATAGGGCGTACAGCCGTTTCAATACGGGCAAAAAAAACCACGCGTTTTTGTCTATTTGTGTTTATCCCTTGTGATGGGATTTTTGTAGCATGAACATTTGAGTTATATGACGGCACGGGGTGATCAAGAAGATCTGAATTGATCTGTAATACGATAGCCACCGATAAGGGGTTTCACAGATATGCAGCGTTATCGACGAATCCGTTTAATTTTTACTCAACTTACGTAGCCTATTCTTGGTTCTTTCGGAAAAAAGTCACGTAGAAGGGAAATAGTAAAATAATACAAATAAAACAATACAATTCTCACGACGTTTCGATTGCAACACTGCTGTGGTTTTCACACCCGATGATGATTGCTTGTGTTGCAATCGAAATGTCGTGAGAATTTTATTGTTTTATATTTTTATAATTTTATTGTTTCCCTTCCACGCGGTGACTTTACCGAAAAGAACCAATTTATATGAATCCCTTTCAGTCACGAAAAGCTTTAAATCGAAATTTACGTATCACAATTAATATTCATGAGCTCAAGAACCGCCCTCTTTAACTTTTATCCAATGGGAAGAGCCGAGTCGAGGAGACGGTCACCGCCCAGACACGAGGACCAGCTGTTGATTTCGCGGCAAAGTGGGCGTGGACAAACAACTTGGTTCGCCGCTCAGTTCAACTTTTGGCGTCTCTTGCAACCCAACAGCGACCTTACCACCATTCTGCCGGCGTTGTACGTGTTTACTACTACCACCACCATCACCACCATCGTTACCGGTGCCGTTGTTTGAAAGTCGACACGCGAAGTTATTCGAGGAGGAGCGAAAAGGGGGTGTGGGTGTTATAATAGGCGCTCCGGGCGGCCATGGACAACTTTCAGAAGGTGGAGAAGATCGGGGAGGGCACGTACGGCGTGGTGTACAAGGCGCGCAACAAGCTCACGGGCGAAGCGGTGGCCCTCAAGAAGATTCGACTCGACACGTAACTCGCCGCTCGCTTCCAACCACCACCCCCCCCCCCCCCCCCACTTGCCACCAGCAGCATCTGGGATTGAAGGCCGCGCTTCGGGCTTGCTTTCAGCCCTTTGTCTCTCAGGCGCGATGGAGGCCTTTAAATAAAACAACAACCCCACACTGATTTCACTGCCGGATTAAGAGGCAGACGGTGGAGCGGTTCGGCGCACCGCGCTGTTAAATTGGGCCGCCTTGGAGTTGGATTCCTGGCCACGACTGAAACCAGTGGCAAGTTGCACCTTGGAACTCTCGTGGGTGGGCTCCGAGTCGGACTGGCTAGCGTGCGGGTCGACACAACCCCCGACCCATGGCCGGAAACAACGTAGAGAGGAGGCTTTTGTCCAGCGGTGGACTGATCATGACTGGGGGATGTTGATGAAGAAACGGGAGTTTGAATACGATTTGTGGGGTTAGCCGTGTCGCCAGTCGTATTGCGTTGAATGTGTTGTGGCTAGACTCCTCTGTGTGTGGTTATTAGGGGCATGCTGCCCATGTGCATATGTGAGGTCAGTTACAATGGCTATAATTCACTGTGCCATTTAATTCCCCGTGAAGATCAATGGCAACGTTGTAGTAATTTCAGCTTAGCACAACAAAAACACGACTGTTTTGAGACTTGCGGTCTGACCAGGTGAAATCCCAGCTTGCCCCATGCGAGATCTACTATCTGTTAAACATGGAATGTTTTGCATTGATCATTTATGTGTCGTACTTTGTAAAGCAGGCCTGGTAAGAGAGACATGTGTAAGTGCGCTCGCATCCGGTTATACATAAAGTTTATGTTTGTGTATTCCAGTTGTTGAAAGTCAGAAGTGCCATGACAATGAGTGGAGGCAGACTGATATTTCAGTGAGACGTTTTGACTAAACCAAAGAGATTTGCACTCGATACTATGATCTCCTTACTGTAGTCAGACTTTTAAAATATAGACTGGTCTGCCCAAACAAATTGGCATGAGTTAATATTTCCAGACATCTCGCTTGTGTTCGTATTAAGGGTGTAAGGTAGCTTTGCTGAAGCTCACTGTCACTGAGCACAGGGGGCTGTTTGTGCTCTTAACAAGCATATTATAAGCATGAAGCCAAAATAATGTTGTACTGCATGTGACCTTAGGCCTTAATTTCCAGAATTAAATGATTCAGTGGCACTGCTTTTCTAAATGGCAGTCATTACGGAATGCACAGTGGTTGTGATTTAACATATGATTGTATACATTTTACTGTACCTTATTTTTTTGTGTACAGGGAGACTGAAGGCGTTCCAAGTACAGCCATCCGAGAGATATCACTTTTGAGGGAACTCAACCACCCAAACATTGTCAGGTGTGAAAAACTGTTCAAATGAATGTGCTTACGTTTTAAACAAAATACTAGTGTTTTACTTTATTGTTTGAGCATCGTGAATCTCGTTTTCTGCTTGGTTAGGCTTCTGACCATAATACACAGCGAGAAGAAACTTTACTTGGTCTTTGAGTTGTTGGATCAGGATCTCAAAAAGTTTATGGATAATGCTACGCCATCAGGAATCCCATTGCCACTGGTGAAAGTAAGATCCTACTGTTATTTTTTGTGCAACGTGTACAATTTATGCACACAAATTTAGGAACAAGTTCCTAAAGTACTATGTTTTCCAATATGGCACGTTCTTTTTTGACTTATTTTATGTTTATCAGAGCTACCTGTATCAGCTGCTACAAGGAATTGCTTTTTGCCATTCCCATCGCATCCTACACCGTGATCTCAAGCCACAGAACCTGCTTATTAATGCCGAAGGTGCCATCAAGCTAGCAGACTTTGGGCTTGCAAGGGCTTTTGGTGTCCCACAGCGCACGTATACACATGAGGTAAGAGGGCCCATACACTTGGTTGATGATTATACACCTTGAAGTTTAGTGTCTTGTGTTCCATTGCGACATTGTACAGCTCTCTCACACTTTGTCAATAGGTGGTGACCCTTTGGTATCGTGCACCAGAGATTCTGCTAGGTTGCAAGCACTATTCCACATCCGTTGATGTCTGGAGCATTGGCTGCATCTTTGCTGAAATGGTATGTTTAAAAAATCATAACATAAAAAAATACACGTCACTTATTTAGCTCACAACACGGTAGCTTTGCAGTAGCCTCGAATTAAACTAACTGTTATAGCTGTGTAATGTGAGAAAATGTGCATGTTGTTGCTGATGCGAATTTAAATGGTCAATAAAGTGCATTGCTCAACTCTGATTACCTATGGTTAAGAATGCCATTAAATGCAGACCAATGCAGAAATATTGTAAAATTATTTTTTCTTTTTTTATTGAAGCTGACAAGGCGGGCACTGTTCCCTGGAGACTCAGAAATTGATCAATTGTTCCGAATATTCCGGACGCTGGGTACACCAGATGAGGTTGTATGGCCGGGCGTCTCACAACTGCCAGACTACAAGTCGACCTTTCCACGGTGGGCTAATCAGGAGCTCACCAAGGTGGTGCCCACCCTTAACTTCGAAGGAAGGGACTTGCTTGCTGTGAGTAAATGCCACTCAAATACCTCTTAAGGGTCATGAACAAAGGTATTTTTTTCATTTAGTCTCATGTAGAATGTTAGAGAAATTTGTATCTAAAACCAATTGTTGTGCTCTGGGTAATGCTACATGTTAAGAGATGGAATGTTCACCACAACCACCTCACATGGAAAACTGCACTTGGATTACGAGTGACTAGGAAAACCTAACTTTGAAATTGAATTAAAAACCTCACCGTGTGTCTTTAATTATTTACATGTTAATTTGTTTCTTCAATGTAAAAATCGAAACATGATTAGTAGTCATTAATACAGTGATTCGCCTTTGAAGTATATTGTAACAAGATTAAGTTATTGCATGTGCATATAAGATGCATTACAAAATACTGTAAATTCTGCTAGGCTTATAATTGGATTGCTTTAACTAAATGCAACGCATGTCCTGTGTTTTTTTTTTTTACAGCTGATGTTGCAGTACGATCCCAACCAAAGAGTCACTGCAAACATGGCTCTCTCACACTGCTTCTTTCAAAATGTGAAACAGATTGTACCCCAACTGAGGTCGTGACTTATCAACCGAAGCATTCAAAGTCAAGAGTTTGTTCATCAATGGTGTTTATGGGCATTTGCCATGAAATACACCCCTTAAAGACTTGTACATGGTTGTATTTTAGCTTACTGCCGTTTGCCTGACAACATTTGTTCTCTTCAGCGAGTTGCAGAGTGTGTATATGTAATGATGATTCTACATTCCAGAATCCCAACCTTGGAAACATATTTTGTTGCTTTCAGTGTTGGAAATTTGCAAACTGTTACATGTTTTAAAAGTTTACGAATTGTAAAATATTACTTAATGCTGCATTGCACAAAAACTACTGTTGAAATCTTGTAATGCAATTTATAATAAAAAAAAGTTTTTTTCAGTTCAAGTTAGAATGTTGTGTCAAACTCTTAAAAGTAAGAGATGATACATTTGCATAATTGGGTTTACACATGTTTATGGAATAAAAAAAAATTCCAACCGGCATGTTTGATACATTGTAGCTTTATTATGCTAATCTCTGGCCTCAGTATGTTAAAATGCCGCGCAAGTTAAAAAGTTTTAAACGTAAGGAAGAGCAATTATTGCACAACAGCGCCACTCGTGGCCGTGGTGAGTTGCTGCCAACCCGTTGGAGGGTCAGAGGAGGCGTCGATCTGTAATCGATCGTTATATTTTCGTAGCCTTTCGAAGACACGTGTGAGTATTGAGGTTATTATATATCGCCGATAACATAACTTTACATTACTCTTTACGCGAAGGCGGGGGGAGGGTTCACCAGTTGACAAATTCACCCGAGATCGACACGGCGTAGGCCGCGGCTCGATCCACCCCGATTTTCCTGAATCGCTCTCGGGCTTCGCGACGCATAGACCCCCGGGAGCGGAAAGCGAGGTCGGCCCTTTCGCCCCCCCCCTCCTCCCTTCGGATAATTAAGGCGTGTATTTGGTTGTTCTCGTGGCGTCGGGGCGGTTGATTCGTTTCTAGTTGTACATCTACATTGCTCGGCCAAGTGTCTGTGATCGTAACGTTTTTATTTTGTTCGGGTAATTGCTGCTGGGAGCCGTGGGTGGGTTGTTGTAGTTTGCCGTCGGGAGATGGCCGCTGTGGGCCTCGATGTTGCGAGCTTGTTTCCAGGCCGTATGGTGGCGTATAAACACAACTCGATAAGTCACTTCGTGTGCTAGCAAACTTACACATTTCTTGTTTAACGACAATAAACTGAGGAAGACGTTCCGCCGAGGCTGTTGTATCGACTAATGTTTAAAAAAAATTGTTTATGCAGCCGCACCAGGCTAAGCGACTTGTGGCACATTTCTTGAGTTTCGAGTTGCTCCTTTAAGCAGTGCGGGACCCCCCCTCCCCGGCCTCCGCTTACATATTAAAAAAAAACTAATTTACTCTTCACAAATCCCGCTTTGTTTTCTCTTTAACAGCACGTACGTCGTGTTTACCGTTCATTGACAATAACATTCCGATAACGTGTTCGTGTGTACCTTTTTATTTGGTATAGCCCCCTGTGAGCCATTCGGCTCTTGAATCGGGTGCAACCGCAACAAACAAAAAACATGAACAAGAAAACATCTTAAAGTGACTGTGTGACTGTGCAAACAGAAAATCCAGGAAAAAAATATCAAAATATTCCTGAAATAGCACCGTACACCAACGCTGTGTGCAAAAATCCCAGTGGGATGCAAGTCAAACAGCAACAACAACCAAAAGACAACTAAGATTAAGGCCATCAGTCTAACTCCGTACTACAATAAACAAAAACATGGCCAAAACAAAAAAAACTTTTCGAAATCACCAAAATAAAAGCCATAAATGCAATGTAACAGTGATCATAGGGACTGTGACCGAATTTTTAATAATAAACTACAAAAATAAATTATAACACAAATCTAGAGCCATATTTTAGGCCACTGAATAGCAGTGGCAGCTAGGGGTGTACAACTCCTCGAGCAGTTTTGAGAGAAGATCTCATAGGTAGCGATTCAAGTTGCAGTTTATTGGCAATAGCATTCCAGACTCTGGGGGCATCAATAGCAAAGGCCCTTCCTCCGGTTTTTGTACGGCAATAGGGAATGTGAAGCTGGTAAATGAGCGAAGACCTGAGGCCAAATCAGTGCGTTTCGGACGAAGTGGATGTGTCTTTTAAAAAAAAAAACAAGCTCCATGTGACCGATTTGAATTCTATTGGGGATGGGAATTTGTTCAGGTCTACCAACCACGACGAGAGAGCGAGAGTGCTTTCAGGAGAGAGAGTGAGTTCGTGTCGTTTTGCAAAGTACTCTTTCGTTGAAGGAACGCAGACCACGGTGCGCTTTTTTAACTTTAGGAAGTCGTTCAATAGTTTGTAAACTCAAAACGACCCTCGTCCGATGGGTTTCTGGCCCCCGAAAGACGGGGGGATTTTACACGGCCTTTCGCTCCGCTGATCGCATATCCGCATTCAGACGGAATGACTTCCCAAATGTTCGCCGAGACGACGGGTTGCGAGTCGCGTTTTAAGTTACGGCGGCAGCATGCAAAACACAGGGCCTTTAAAACAGGTGGTGGGGCCGCCGGGAAGACGACTAAACAACCAACAAATAAATCATCGGACGCAAAGATGATGGATGGATGGGGTGGAGTGGGTAGTTGGTGACCAGCTGCCCCTGTAGGAAGACGCGCGTGAAACACGGTGGCATGTGTGGGGCATTATTATAGTCCGTGGGCCCCCTTAAAGAGAGGGAGGCAGACGCTGCCGATCTCGCAGGCGTTGGCAACGTTCCGTTAGAATCGAATACAAACCCAAGCACTTTCGCTTTGAATAAGCGAGTTGACGTATCTCGTGGATGCGAAATAATACGCACCCAGCTCTTGTGTCTCCTTGCTTGCTAATGGGAACGCAATGGTGCGTGTTGGTTTTTGGGCAGTATTTTACAGATTACAGCTGCAGCGTGTTTTTTAATTCATCGTGTGTAGCTTGTTCCAGCTCATTTAATGTGAATTTAATTAAAGTTACGTTTTCACCTCCTTTTTTGTTTGTTTGGATAAGTTGGAAAGACATGGAACTTTGTAAGTAAGCGCCTTTTTACAAGCGTTTTCATCAAATAGGACTTTCTTTGATTACGTTTAACAAGTAACCCAGGAATTCTCACACCAACCACTGGACATAACGTGTACCAAATGTTCATGTGCTTATGAAGAAGGGTTATTGGCCAAAACGTCGCCAGTTATATACTTTCTCCTTTAAGGCTGCAGTTTTATTGGCAAATGTGTTGGGTTTTTTTTGTTCATTGTGATTGTGCAGCACTTGCTAATGCAGGTATTGTGAGCCTATGTTTTCTAAGCAACCATTGGAAAGATGTTCTGAATCAAACCAAACATTAAACAAATTTTCAATGGTACAGTATATTTTTTCAAGTAGTGGTATCCCAAACTTTCGCAGCTGCTTAAATTCCCTTTTCACACCATCAATATGTAAACTCCCCCCCTCGCCGGTCTGCACATGCCCCCCCCCCCCTGTACATCGTTCATTATGCTAAGTCCGCCAATTAAATGCTAATTTTTATACTAATTCCTTTGTCAAGGTGCTCTGCTTCCTCTCACACAGCTTAAAGGTCGCGGTCTGTGCTTGGCTGTGTTCACTCCAGCGCTGTCCTCTAGACAGTCTGGTCCCTTCACCTGATGAAGGCCACTTGTGTTGTGGCCGAAACGTCGTGAATTTTTTTTTATTTTTTGTTGTTTTTTTACGTGACTTTACCGAATAGAACCAAAGAGTATGGATCCTTGCAGTCACGAAAGCTTTAAATCTAGAACCTATGTTTTCTCTTCATGGATGCAGATCATGAACGGGTTGGGTGCAGACGATTGTCATGTTGAGGACATTTTGCGACTCAACGTTGGTGGAGTGGCCATGACTGCTCGACGGGATTCTTTGTGCCGATACAAAGATTCCATGCTCGGTGCAATGTTCAGTGGACGCTTCCCATTGAAACAAGACAGCACAGGTTGAAATAAGGCATCTTCTTTCTCACTATTCATCGTTATTACCAGCCCCTCGCATGAGAAAAAAAATGTTTTATTTGTATATTATTTTTAAGGGATTTGTTTAACTTTCCTATAGTTTGCACTCCTATTGTGTTTTTGTATTGTTTGTTATTTTAAGGTTCTTACCTGCCCCTACTGAACATCTGTGATAAAAAAATGTTTTATAGCCCATTGGATTTCTCCAGTATAAATAAATATTCTTATTCTGAATTCTCATTACAGGATGGGGCAGGCCCTCAGCCAGCAGTGGATTGACAAAAGTTTGGTTCATGTTAAACTTTGTAAAACTACTCGAGGAATGACGTAACGTTTGTTTCACACAGGTGCCTGTGTAATTGAGCGGGATGGACAACTCTTTAAGTACCTGTTAGACTACCTACATGGAGTGCTGAGGATTCCTACTGATGAGAAAACCCGAATTGCCCTGCAGGGGGAGGCAGACTACTTTGGAATCCCATATCCATACTCCTTGTCTGGACATCTGCATCATGAAATAGATACTTACCGGTCCAGGGGAAAGGTGGACACTCATCAGGTATGACCGTAGTCTTAAGATGATTGGACATGTGCTGCTTGTGTGCAAACAAATAGAGAAGTGCTGGAAAGCTAATAGCATACAAAATGTAAGGACACAATCCAATTTGATAGTAAATTGCTATTCATATGCCGAATTAATACTCTTCAGATTGTTTTTAATTCTCATCAGAGCCCCCATACAGTTAACGGAATAGTGAAGTCTCCACAATTATTATTCACTCATTTATTTACCCTATTTGTCCTGTGGTGTGCTATGTGTCTCTTGTTATTTGTGCAGTATCACCAAATACATTTACGATGGCAGATTATTTTCCAAGGATTATGAGGATCCAAAAAGTTTAAGTCACCTACCATACAAAAGATGTATAGACCTATTGAAGTTGTTCTCCTATCACTCTAATTCATGGATTATCCATGATATTGAATGTGCTCCATTCCAACGGTAAACCAACTTCAAGACCTTAGCACAGAAGCCCTCCTTCTGACATGTCCTGAACTGAGTGTATGTGGCCATGTTAACCTCTTCAACTGATCCAAAAGAGCTTCCGGTTAACTGATTTTTGTTTATTTTTGGGAACAAATGAAAGTCCCATGGACTTAAATCTCATGATAATGGTTAACGAGGTAGAACTTACCACTCCCAGGACTCCAGAATGTTGCAAACATTCATACATGTTTTGAAAGAATTTCTAATTATTCTGTGCAAACTGTTATCATTACGAAACAACAACAACCATGCATTAATGTAATAACAAATGATATGTCTTCAGGGCTTTCCTTGTTAAGCAAATATAGGACGATGCACAATCAGGTTGT